CCCCCCAATTTTATTTTGAAAAGCTGCACTTGCTCATAAAAGTGCTTTAAAACAACTCCGCTAAACTGAAAACAACTAAGACTAAACTCTATGGTAAAAAACAGTTTTATTAGGTACTGAATTTTAGGTAACAAGTGGCATAATTATGTTCAATAAATGTTATCTGTGTTATTTAGAAGCTTAAAAATTAATTTGCTTAAGCCAGAGCAAAACAAAACAAAATAGCTATAAAATAGACAAGTTTTTGATGGGTGTTTATTGCTCAGATTTTTAGTGATACCACATACTCCTTAGAGTTCCCAAGACACAGATTGTTTTTCCTCTTATATATTATACAAAACACCTTCCATACATAAATATTGAACTATTTCACTGGTTATATTCACTATGTTTAAACTCTTCTTGAAAGCTTTGGGGGGTGATATTTGCAAGGCAATATTGTTAGACATATTGAATTTCCTTACAACGTCACAAATTTAAATGAGCTATTTTTCCAAAATCCAGAAGGCTTCATATAGCTAATATCAAAGTGACATTATACAATATAATTCATGAAAACGTCAATACTTTAAATGATGTTCCACAACTTACTAAATCAATGATAGAAGATATAACATCAGAATGAAAAAAAAATCAAATAAATAGAATACCTAAGACTTTTAGTGCTAATTCAATTTTTCTAAAAATCTTATGCTATAAAACATTTGTTTACAGGAGTTAAGTATCAAAACTATATCTTCAGACTCTACAATTTTAACATAGATTGTGCTATGCCAGTAACACTCCTTCATATGTTGAGATTTCCTGTTTCTTAAAATGAGAAAATATTAAAAATACAGCAAATTTCAGAGAGATACTAATGTCTAACTGAAAGATTATGGTTCCTCCTTCAACTAAGGGTATAGAGAGACAAAATATAACAACAGGTAATATGATAAATATAAATATTACAAATTGAAGATTTAAAGAAAAGCACATTACATGCCAGCAACTCTTTGATCATACTAAAATCAAAGGGATAGCACAGTGTAATCATAACCATCATATTAAACTCAACAATACTAGAAATTACACTACTTTTATTTTTCCTTGTTACAATTTTATGTATCTACTAATTTTTCCTTAAAATACATACCAATAAATTTCTAAAATGCTTTGCATCTAAGATTAAAGAAAAGTGTTTGGACTGCAACTTTTAAAAGCTGGACAAAAGTATTCCCATTGTACTACCAACACCATAATTCTCTTCTTTCAATAATGTAAACAAAAGAAGTGATCTATTCTAAAACTTTACTAACTCATCTCATTTCCAAAAAAATGATCATTCTTATGTTATACAGTCTCGATCCTAAAGGTTAAATTGGCCACTGAATTTTCCCCATGTCAAAATTAAGGCAGTGTTGAGTACTTCCTTCACTAAAAGAAAAATGCACTTACATTCTTTTTCAAGACTTTTAAAAATTTAACACATAACTGGCTTGTGATTAACAAAAAAAAATCACCCAAGTTGTGCAATGCTAAGATTACGATACAATAAATCTAGGGATATAAGTTCAAATTTTAACTTAAGGACCATAAAAGGAAATACTTTACATCAAATGTGATCCAGTTTTATAGCCATAAATACGAAGAAAGTGTAAGATACACACTAATATATGCTGCGATTACAGTGAAGTATTTCTGTTTGGTGGATATAATGAAGATCTCTAGTGTCATACAATGGAATAACAATAGGTGCATTATGAAATGTTCTAAAATTTAAGGCACACATGAAAAAATATATTTTATAAATCCTTTACTATTCCCAACCAATAATGTATTCCATAAGTTTTTTGGATTATCTACCTGAACCATGCATTATTTTAACATATAAAATCAATCTATTTATTAACAAAACTAAACACATCTTCAGATGCCAAATAAAAGAATAAAAGAACACTATCGCCATTCTGAAAATGCATACAGTAATATATTCCCCAAAAATGAGAAAGCTGCTTTTTACTACAAGGCAACAACTTTAGTTAACCTAATTATAGAAAAGATATGTAAATAAATAGGCTGCTTTAATCAAGTAAGAAAAAAGATATATTCATAAACCACAGATAATAACTAGTATCCTGTAAGATTTAGATTTCTAAAAAGATGAATTACACAGCAAAAGTATATCTATTCATACATCTTTTTTGATTACAGTAATTTAAAAAATTCATTTCACAATCCTCAATCTCCCCAAATTATTTTATTTACTATGCCATGCTGAAATACACAACATAATATACAGTTCTACAAATTCTAAATCACACCAATTAATGCACAAAAAATGTTTTGATTTCAACCATAAATATTAAAAATTACTCAGAAAGGCGAGGTTGTTTAAGATATTTTAAAGATACAAGCTGAGCAAAACACAAAAAACAAAAAACTTCACAAATATGATAAATATGAGTATATTATATTGGCTATAGTAAAAACAATGGACATACATTTGAGTTGAAATTTGTTAAAATATCCCCAAAGTGTGTCTGTATACTGGCTTATACATCCTAAAGAAAGTCTGTGTTAAATACATCAGTATTTTAACTAAACCTTCCGAACACAATTACATTGTTTGAAACTTAGGTAATTTGAGAAAATCCATTAGGTTATACAACTAAAGTATACTTTTCCCCAAATACACTGTCTTACCAAACAAGAAATAGAAAGATTCTTGATGAAATAAACATCAGGCATGTTCACTCTAATAGAGGAGTCATAAATACATATATGAAACACAAAAATGGGCTTCCAAATTACTGCATAATCCTGTAAGAACTCGGCGATAAGAAATCACAGTTTTATAATTTGGTTCATCTGAGATGAGCAGGTAAGTATCCCTTAAATATATCTGAGTACGAGAAGTTGAAAGTAGCTCAGAGGCTGTTATGTTGAAGAATACCAGGACCTTAGATAATTCCACAGGCTTGTGGTCAAGTGTGAACAGAAAGACTATTAAAATTGAAGTCTGTCAGAAGAAGAGAGATGTATCTGTCTGAATAGGGAATAATCCAGTAATACCATATTTAAATTAAAGTGTTCAGAATTAATACAACTTCTTATTAATTACAAGGCTTTACTTTATCCTTAAAATTAATTCCATAGCGTGTGCTTGGTTTCCACCTGTTAGAGGCAGAGTATAAGCCTTCTTTTATCCAGACATTTCAAATCACATTTGATCAGGTTACGTCACTACACACACAAAATTTTGTTCAACGCATTCCAGTTTTCCATTTTTTCCAACGGATATTCTTGTTCTATATGAATAACGTGCTTCAGAACTATAAATAAAATAAGCAATTTCAATGTAATAAGAAAAAAATGTATAACTAAGTGGACTAAAAACAAAAGATCTAATTCTCGGTGCACCCTTTCAAACCCACTGAAAATAAACTATATTCAAATGAAAAGGCATTTAATTTACTATTTGGAATATCCTTGATAAACACCAATTTTCTGTAACATCCCTGCACATCTGATACCACCTCATGTATAATGCAAAAAAGCTATTTCATTTTCATCTATTGACAGTGAATTTAATTTACCATTGCAGCTCTTTTCCTAGAACTATCACGTTATTAATTCTGCAATCAAGCTCTTTTGAATGCTTTTATTTGTACTAAGGTTTTCACAATTCCACACTGATTTTTTTCATCATAATATACCTTTCAAACATATGAATGTGAATATGTTAGTAAACTTTCTTAATGCATAAGGAAAGTTTCAGAGACAAGGAAAGCCATCTACAAAACTACACTCACAGGAACAAACTTTCGAAGGACAGCATATCTAAGACATTACATTTTAGCTTAATGTTTGTAGTGTTTACCAAATATACTACATTTAGTTTATACATCTAAGTGATATTTTCAACCATTCTAAAACCTTCTTATCTAGCATAATGGTCCATTTTCTCCCACCAATCAATTGGCTATGAAAAAGAAATCCTCTACTAAAGAATTCTACTGAAATTAGATCATTGAAAGCAAATGAGCTTTGTTTTTCTATGGGGGCGGGGAGGGAAGAAGCAGTATCAGTCCCCTCAGCACTGAATAAATACTTTTTTATGGCCATGAAGACAAAATAACCAAAAAAAATGGCAGAAGCTACACCTGAGTAAAAGCAAATCAGTTAATGTTTTATCTAAGAGATATACTATTCAATTATGCAGATTATCCAATTATATTTAAAATCCATATAATGAGTAGCAAAATGATAAAAAGAAAAAGATAAAACACAGAGAACTGTATAACACTTGAAATAAAAAACACACACTGAAAAGTACAAAAAAAATTATGCCACCTAGGAAACTTGCCATTTTCCAGTAGGTTATAGTACCACACAACTGTTACCAGATTTTAATCCAATACAGCTCTTCATAACACAAATTTTGAAGTATTACTTTACTTCTTACATAATAATATATTTCCTTGTCACAATTACACTAAAAACGCAGTATTTTAAAAATCTGAAGAGGCAGCACTTGTCCTCTTTACTTCACTCCAGGGCCAACAAACAAAGCAGTGAAGCAGAAAGAGGTACATAATGGATTTAGAAGTAAATGGTCCATTCTTTAAGAAGCCTTCCTACCCCCTCTTCTGAATTCACTCTAGACTAATTGTCATTACAATGATGTCTGAAAACTTCAAAAGAACCCTATTTCCTGATGCCAGCTGTCCATGTTTCTATCTTTAAATTTTAGAGTTTTTTCCTAATTAGAAAGAAGTATTTAGACATACCCAAAAGATGTTATCTCGTAATTGTTCTAAATCACAGACACAGTATATCGATTATAGAAACAAAACATAATCAAGAGTGGAAATATTCTTTAAAATTTTCCACAAATACAATATATAAATAAAGTCTATACTATTAAGAATTTCCTTCAATACAACATACAACACACGTAGATCTTCTCTTTATTTCCTTGGGGATTTATCAAACAATCTCTTCACCATTGCACCTACCTGGGTAAAAATCTTTGGACTTAGACAGCTTGATGGTGGCTCCAGTTTCTTTTTGCAACTGAACAATTGTCTGTCCTCCCTTCCCAATTATAGATCCAGCAGCATAACTAGGTATGAGAACCTTTAGAAAATACTGGCCGTCTTCTGAAAAATGCAAAGAAATATATTTGGTTAACATGATAATTTTAAACTCTCTATCCCCTCTCCACCCTCAAGAGGGAAAAACAGCAATTAAAACATTGGGCATATAGCTGCAGGAAATATGGGGTTAATTTTTTTTTTTTTTAAAGAACAAAAGTAAGCCAATTACACTGAAAAATAAATAGGTACAAACTGTTTCTCATTTTGTAGGATTTATACTTTTAAACTTGGAATTAAAATCTAAACATGTTTTATTATTTTGCAGCACTGTAGAAACTGATGACTAAATTCCAGTTGTTATTCCAAACATGGAAGTCTTCCAATTCTATCTGTGGTTACTATGGTAAAATGAAATGAACTGACCCTTTAACAAAACTTCAGAGATTTATATGATGACAAACCTTCACTTACCATATTGCAATACAAATAAGTAAAAGGACTGTAAATAGTGATGAGCTATATTGGTTTGACATTAGCAAACACCTAAGGACTACAATCAGCCATTGCCTATATCTTACTTAAAGTATGCAAAACAAACATTTCTCCTACCAAATAATCCACCCAAACTGTAGGGTGTATTCCAAGTCTGCAATAACTGCCAGGAAATAACTCAAAGTGATGTGAACTGGCAAATCTAACTAATCCTGGTGTATTTCTTTAGCACTTCTTAGTCTACCATGATCTCGTTTAAGCTCATTAATTAAAGGACCTTAAGAAGAATTCTGCCAATACTAAAAAGCTTAGGAGTCATTTATATCAAATACACTTAAAAGTGACCAAACAGATTATGTTACTTCTACAAAATAGCCACAGCTTTAAAAACAGAGGAAGTGGATGAACCAAGAAAGAGTGAAATGAAATGTAGAAAATATAAAGCCAACTCCATAAACTTTAATTTCTGACAAACTGATCAAGTCTTAAATCGGAAACACCCCAGTAAATCCAGCTTATGTGAATAAACGTTCTAAATTTTGCGGGTGTGCCATTCGCAAGACCCCCATCCGTCTCTAATGTACATGCTGTAGATAAATTCACCTCTGCCTCGATGCATTGGGTGCATTGTTAAGATGACTCCAGTGCAAATGAAGAAGCGATACCGGTCCCGTTATAACTCATCTTCCCAGGAAGCGCAGGATGTTAAACTAACAAGTCACAGTACCAGACACCCCCACCCTCGTATGCACACCTCTGAAGACAAATCAATGAGATATTTGCAACGACAGTGTAAGTGCGGTAAGAGCATGCACTCATCAAGATTTTGCATACTACTTGTGGCCCAAAGCAAGGGGATGGAGAGGGAAAAACTCTCCGATGCCCCAATCATTTGCTATCCGCTACCCAAGTGCCATTTATTTATTTATTTTATCAGACTGTTAAATGCAGCGCGCATCTTCGAGCGGCCATCACCTCACTCGGGGGTCATCCTCCTCCTCTTTAACGGACCCCCTTGCCCAGGTCTAGGATATTTAAATGGTCAGTCTTTAGACCGATTAAATGGAAAGATAGGTCTATTCCGAAAAACCGGTCGCCATTTTGATGAATGATAAACAGAGAAATGGAAATGTGTCCGGGACAGCGAGGTGCGGGGCAGGTGCAGGGGAGGGGGCGCGGGGCAGGGGCGCGGGAGCCGCCGGGTTCGGGCTGGAGGTGTCCGGGCCGCGGGAGGGAGGGAGGCCGGCAGGAGGGAGGGAGGCAGGGGCGG